GCAGAGCAATCCATTTGCTTTACTAGGGTCTTAGGCATATTTCTGGAGCCTGGGGTAGGATATAGGGACTTTTCATCCAGCTCTTCCTTGGCCTTCCTGATGAGAAAAGAGCAGACTATTGACAAGTCAGGATAACTATTTTCTAACCTTCTGCCCACCAGGACCTGAGAACATCTTAAGGATCACAGGGCAAAACCAGGTGGATGAGCACCAACTTGGTTTGACTGTAGAAAAGTATGTCTGTGTCATTTCCAGTCCCAGAACCCTCTGGTAAACTGAAAAATTGAGGGAGACTTGAAGCCCCAACTCATACAATTTATTCACTATTATTGAGCAGTCATTACCTGTGAAGCACTGAATCAAAAACTCTATACATTTTATCTCATTTGAGCCATATAATAACCATAGATGGTTAGCAGTATAATTATTCCTATTTGACAGATAAAAAGGTTAAGCTTTGGAAAGGTTAAGACCTTGTCTAAGGTCAAGAGCTAATAAAAGACAAAGCCAGGATCAAACTGGGGTCTTTTTTATTTCACAGTCAACAGTTTTAATCACATTGACATCCTACCTATTGTGGAAACGTTTCTGCTTCTGTGCCGGAAGTCAGAGTTCACCTGGCTAATATACAATGTAAAACCAAAAAGGCTTTCATTAGATTTCATGCCAGAAATGATCACCCAAGGGGTTAGGCATCAAAGTGAACTACCTTGAATTTATCCATTTCCTTTTATCCTCTGCCTGCCACTTGAGACTTTGCTGTCCTCTGTGTACTGACAAACCCTGTCTTACCTGGAGCAGGAATGTTTTTCACGTTAAAACAAAAAAGGAAGACCATTATTCCTCACAAGTTAACAGCACTCAAGAGCTTTGCCAAAGCTGTAACTCCCCCAGGGCTCACTGCAGTTGATGCAGAACTTCAGGGACCTCCAAATTTGTACTTTGCAAGCTGCTCCTACTCAACAGATAAAAGGGAGACATAGTCACACAGAACTTAAATTTGACTCTTAAATACCCTCTCACAGAGCCTTTCAGGTATAAAGACCACCTTAAAGACTGAAAGAATAGAATGGAAAGCAACTATATGTTATACATTCACCCAAAAAAAGTTTTACTACACAAGTTAACTAGTAGTTTCGTACAAATGTTCATCTCTTTATTGTAATATACATACCTTGATTACGTAGGATGTTAATATTAGAGGAGACTGGGCAAAGGATATATCTTTGCATCTCTTCTATAAATGTAAATTTATTTCCAAAATAAAAGGCTTTCAAAAATGTAATGACATTCTTGATAAGAGTCCCTACAGTATGCTCCTAAAGAATGACTGTTAGAACAGCGATACTGATGGAATGCAGTTGAAGTGAGAATTGAGTCATTTTCATCAATGATGTATCATTGGTAGCAACAGTACAGAGTTCCTCTAATCCAAAGCCATGGGAATAACACATCTTGCAAACCAAGGATTTAATCAGAGCTGAGCAAAAAAGAGAGTTTGATCACAATGCTTTACATCTGAGCCATAAACATATCTTCTATATAAAACACTGTAGTAAATAGTATTGGCAGAGGGGAGGTGAAGCTGGTGTAGGGTGTGAGGAAGGAAGCAAAAGGAAGGACAGAAAGCACCATTCATATATTCATGAATGAGATGAACCTGAAGGAAGCTAAGAATCATTTTTATTTAGCATCTAGGATCAGATCAGGGGAAGAATTTCCACATTTGCATAAGTAACTTCATAATACAGAGGGAATAAGGCACTGGAGTGCAGGTCCTCGACACAAGAAACTTTTCTTTAACTTTTCCAAAGAAAGTTTCAGAAACACCCATCCAAGAGTTATTTGGTATAACCAAAGCATTTCAGAAGAATTTTAAAAAGCAATGAAAGGATGAAATATTTAGAGCCTGCAAAAAACTTTCTAAGAAAGTTCTGAGGATGATCAAACCCAGAATCAAGAGCACTTTCAAGAATTTGAAGGTCTCTTACTTAAGGACCATGATCATTTAATCTTCTTTGCTAAGACCAGAAGGAAATATCTCACTAGGTCACCAAAGGTGATTACAATATTATCTTTGGATGTCATTGCAAAGAGAAGAGGCTGCTTTTTGTAAGGGTTTAATATAAACCTGCCTTAAAGCACAGAGGAAGAATAGATGGTCTATTTCAGGTCTGTTTCCTCCCCAATTCATGGAATCAAAGCAATATAATATGCAGCTGCTTTAATATTTCTTTGAAGAGTATTTGCTAGAGAGGAATCAGGAAACATTATTCTAGGACAGAAAGCACCAGTCACATCATGAAACTCAGGCGTAAAAAATCCCTTGACTGATCCAGTTTTCTAACCTCGCTTCCTATTTCATAGACTTTCTGAGGACATATGACCACGAACCTGAAATTTAGGAGACAAGCTGATCTGGTGCTAAGCTCTGATTTCTTTTCCAATAAGACAACTGAGACAAATTCATATGAGAATAAATCATGGCCCTAAACCAGAGTCTTAAAAAAAAATGCCATTAGCCCCTGATACTTTATTTTCAAGGGGTATATCCACTCACATCCTATTCATAATACCCTTAAGGTAAAGTTAAAGTCAATAATTCAGTTTTTGAAATTTGTATTTTATTGTTCTCATTAATGAAAAGAAAACATAATCATCTGGTACATTATGTTTGTATATTACTGTTTGAAAACCATACTGTGATAAACTCCTCCACCTCACCCCAAACAGCTTGATACAACCCCATTTCACTTTATACCAGTTTGTCTTCTATTTATATTTTAATAGAATAATTTGGTCAGACATCCAAAGGACTTCCTACTAATGAAATATGAATTTTCTAAGAAAAAGGCAATTTATAACTTGCCTTAGTATCCATCAAAGACAAGAACAGTTATTAAAGTCTGAAACACAGCAACCATCCTCAGACTCAAAAGAACCAGTAGGACAGTATCAGAGGCAAGCAAAGGGTTAACACAGCTGATATCTAGGTTAAGAGAAGGATGCAACATAATTTTTTAAGACAAACACCTGGAGAGAAAAAAAGTAGTATTTTGTTTCCACCTCAAGAAACCGCAGACAAACACGAAGCAAATCACATCATCAGAATACTCAATTATCTGAACATGCTAATTAACTAAATGTAATCAACCCGCTTTCAGTCCTCTTTTAACCTGCTGTAATATTTCTAGTGCATTGCCTTCCTTATTCCTCACAACTGGTAGAACGTTAGACAGTCTGCATGGTGCATCAAAGGGAAACAAATAAGCACAGATTTTTGCTGATGGCAGGAATTTCTCATGCTCAGGGCATGTGAATCAACAATATGGAAATGGCAGTACTGGCTGTATATTTTAATTATTCTCCACACCTATTTTGCAAAAGAGACTTAAAGTTCAATTAGGTAATTGATGCTCAGTTATGGTTATTTCATAAAACTGAGCGCAGACAGTCATTTAAAGTAGTAAATATGCAGTCATGACAGAATAAAATATTCATGAAATCAAGAGCGACTGGAAAGCTGAGGATATCAGAATATTAAAATTCATCATAGTTTTCACAATGTAAATCTTGTATGCATTTGTAAGGCACCCCGGTCGCATCTAGAGTGTATTCAAATTCTAGTTCCTTGGTAAACTTCCATTTAAATAACAATATTGATTTTGGAAGATAAACAACAATTTTGATTCTTAGCTCAGTTTCAAAATGCAAAACAATTCTGAACATTTGCAAATCTGAACTTGTTAAATGAGCCTGTCTCCAAACACAGAACAGCAATTCAATGTGATCCCGACATGTTTCCAGTATTTATTTAATCCACTAGTATCTTAGGAAAGCTCTAACAGAAACCAAGGCAATCTCCATTAAGGGGCACTTCATGACACACAATTCCTTTCTAACTAGCAGAAGTGCCCATTTTCCTGCACACTTCCTCAAGTGAGCAGAAGTGAGAAAGTAGATTGACTGGCTCATTTGGTTCCAATAGTCTGATTTGTTGAACCAACTTTTCCCCAATATTACCAGTCAGTTTCAAAATATATTAACAAATATACAGTGTACACTTTATACAGATAAAACAAAGCAACATTAGCTTCCACAAAACTAAACTCCCAGTGTGTGAAGGAAGACTGCTCAGAGACAAAGCTGTAATAAACACACCCTACTAATACTACCAAGGCAGTATTTTCTATGCCATTTCCTCTACTTTACAATTTTCTCAGCGGAAGAGGCATCAGCACCAGAAAATAACATTCAAGCCATTTCTTACTAGAATCCAATTACCTGAAGAACTCCTCTTTCCACAGCAAGTAGCAGCTATCCCCTGGTCTACAATGACACAGCAGGGCTGCAAAAGATTTGTAGGGCTCATCTGCTGGCAGGCACTTGATCTCTACCCTCCTAGAAGGAGGATGCCAGGTCAAGAGGAGGACCTCCAGCTTAGAGCAGGGTTAAGCAGGGCACTCCATTCTGCAAATGAGCCAAACTTTGCTCCCATTGTTTTCTTTAGGTTGATGTCACCACCCTCCAAGGAGTCTCAGAAGCCACTTGGCAGCTCCTAAAGAACTGTTTCTCCTAGACCTATATCATCCAAATAAGCCTCAGTTAAACTGCGAGGGCAAGCAAAGGTCTCATCACTGCTTTACTGAGGTGCTGTGCTCGCCCAGAGCATCACACCGCATGTACCAGAAGACTTTTCTCTGCACACACCGCTGAACACTGAAACCAGGACAGACTTCTACACATACCCTCCAGTTCGGAAAGTCACTATCGCCCATGGATTCCCTTAAATCTTAAGCCTTCTTCACATCTGCCACCCCCACCCCCACACAAACGAGGGAAGGGGGTTGGGGAGCGGAGGGGTTAAAGTGACAGCCACGACAGCAACTCCTTGGTTTTGTTCAAAAGGTAGCACAGCGCCAACACTGTGGACCTACCTTGCTCTCTCCTTTCTCGCCGTTGGGTCTCGTCTCGGGATCGTCGCTGTCCTCAGCGCCTGCACTCTCGCCGGGCAGTTCATCCTGAGCCAGCTGCTGCGGCGGCGGCTGGGGCTGGGGCGGCTGTGGCGGCGCCTGGCAGGCTCCGCCAGCCCCCTGGGAGCGGGGGATGGGCTCCGGGCGCGGAGAAACTCCCTCAACATCCATCTCCATCTTCCCATTCACTGGAGGGCAAGACAAAAGCGGAGTGGAGACTTGGCAGCGGCGACCGGCAGCTCCTCAGCTGCCCGTGGCACGCATGGCTCGCCGAGGAGGGGCCGCCTCCCGCGCGCCCTCCCTCCTGCCACCCTTCACCCGCGCTCCCCGCAGCTCCGCTCGCCTGCTCGGCTCCGGCCCTGGCTGCGTCTGGGCCGGGGAGCGCGAGGAGCGGGTGGCCGCGTGTCCTTGGAGCGCTGGCCTTCAGGCGCCCCCGGCAGTCCCGCTAAGCAGAGCGCATCCCGGCGGCGGCGGCGGCGCCTCCCGGCCGCGCTCCCAGCCTCAGGGCCGCTTGGGGACTTGCTCTCCAGCCCGGCCCACGCTCCGAGCCGCTTTCCGGCGTCTCTTGGGGCCCCTCGGCGTTTCCCCTCCCTACCAACCTTCTGAACAAAGTTGCTGGAAGAACAAACCTGGTCGCCAGGATTTGCCCGGCGAAACTGGCAAGAATAGGGACTGTCAGGTGCAAGTGAAATCTACCGTCCCCGCCCGCTGACCAAGCGCCGACCCCTCAGCCTTATCCCCTCCCCAACGCAAAGGAGCCAAGGAAAGGAGGGATCTCCGACCTGTGCGAGGTGGTGGCGGCGAGGACTAGAAAGAGAGGAGCGTGCGGAGAGCTGGTGCGCCCACCCCCAACCCCAGGTGACCCTCGCCTCCGCTCTGGCCCTGGTCCCCTCCCTCCCCCGGCCGAGCGCGCCTCAGGGGTCAGTCCCTCCGGGCTGCGCGTGTGTGTATCCCAGAGCTCCGCTCCGGGGTCTGTTCTGCCGCTGGCGGCTCCGCGCCGCACAGCCCTGCACTAGAGAACTGGAGTAGAGAAGGAGAAGCCAACGGCAAATTCCGGGCAGGAAGTCGACCTACCCTTGCCTCTGGCCAGGTCGCAGGTTAGAACCGGGAAGGGGTGGGGCCCCTCGGGGACAGGGAGGACGCGAGTCTCGCGGCGCGCCGGAGTTTGGCGTAAAGGTCGGCAGCAGAGGGTCGATGGGGTAGGAGGAAGGAGAAGCGAGAAGTCGCTGCCAGGCATTTACTGCAATGTGCCCGGGGCGGGCGCCAGCTGGGCGCCGTCTCTTTTTGGTGGTGAGTTCTGTGCTGGAAGAGCGTCCTCAGCAGGGCAGGGCTCCACCAGGAGGCTTCGGTGGTGACCCGAGGGCAGGGAGTGCGGTGCGTCTGTACATTTAGAGATGGCGAGGGTAGACTTGGAAATTCTTAAATCGGGGTTCACCACTAGTCAGGTGATCAGGATGACTTCTCAATTTAACACCACTTGATCCTGGGTAGTAGCTTACAACTTCACGGGAACTGCCACTGCAACTCTGCACGTCCAGGAGGGACCTTCAGGCGACTCTGGAGAGAAATGGCGGGTTATCAAGAACCTGTTCAATATTAAATAGAGCCCATTGTTCTGGGCTTTGAGTTCCATAATGCTCCCAAATGGATCAGCAGATTAATGAACTATTCATGCGTTTCTTAGCAGAGGATGGCTTTTTTTCCCCTAACATATATCACAGATCACACTTGCTTGATGAAACTGGAAAATTGCATTGCTCATCCCATGAATGCTTTGCATTAACTTAAACACAACTTTTACATATCAAGACACACTGCCCCATAGATGCAGTTACACAAGAACACATCATTAGGTTGTATTCCTCATTGCTATCTTTTAATCTGACTCTGCATGTATGACAGAAATTAATTGCTCCACTTTCATCAGCGTAGACAACCAATCTGGGTAATGCAATGTGAACAAGCTTTTGAAAAAGAAGAAAAAGTTTAGGGACCAAATTACCCATTCTCTTTTTCTTCACATTTTCTAAAAATCAGATTTCAAGTTCATTTTCTCAATTGGGAATTGTTGAAAATAGAGTGGGCTCCTCCCCAGTACCTGGTAATAAACCAACAATCATTAGAGAAGGTTTATAATGGTAAATTAGATTATATGTGTAATGTGCTTAGCAGAGGGTCTTAGTGCATAGTGAGCACCTAACATTGTTACACTGAGAACAGTAAGATGATACAAGTTCACACTGAGTGTTCATCTGAAGACCTTGGTTTACAAAAAAGAAGCTACCAATTTAAATTACCTTTATTTAAATTTCCTAAAAGATATTTGGTCTCTTTAGAGAATGAAACCGCTTCTGAAGACAGGAAGAAAGTCAATAATATTTTGTGCAATAAAGGTTTGAATGTGTCAGATTTTTTTTTTTCTACAGTGTAGCAATAAAAATCATATGTCAGTTCAGACAGCAGCAGGAATAGCTGACTGGTAAGTTATTATTCTTCCATGCTTGCTACTTCCAAAATATGTTTGTGAACTTCTTTCAAGGCTTAAATGAAGATTACATCTAAATAAAGATACAATACTTCAATTAAATTTGTTCTAAATTTAGACATGTCCTTTTAAAGACTCTCATTGTTAAATGCAAATATTTCTCCTTCTGCCCCTCTATTTTTGGGGGACGTAGTTTTTTTAAGCATCTGTCACAAGTAAATATGGACTCGGAAAATATATTACATTTCAAAACTGTTGATTGCACCTAATTATGCATGTAAATTGCTACTTCAAGCATGCAGACAGCTTGCAACATTTTGAAAATTTTGCCCTACTAGTCATCTGAGGTATTTGTGTTACTATTTTGCAGTTGCCTTAAATGACTCTTCATTTCTCAATTAACTTTCCATTAATGATAGGTCTGTGAATAATTTTGACCTTTGACTTTCTCTTCCCAAATGATTTAAATTAGTAAATCAGCACTTTCAACAACATCACCCTTCTTCCTATTTATACCAGACCTCTTGATTTTTTGAGTCACTGAAATGGGACTTTACAAAAAGGTGTCCTGGCAGAGTAGTCACTCTAACTCCTTGCTACTGAGTATGATCCATGAACCAGAATCTTCCCAACATCTGGGAGTTTGTTAGAAATGCAAGGTTTTGGGCCCTACCCTAGACCTACTGAAGCAGAATCTACATCCAGCAAGTGATTCCTACAACATTTAAGCTTAAGAGCCAGTGCTCTGGCACATCACGTGGTTGGTCTTTCTACATTATAATCATCTATGGGCACTCATTATTTCCCTGAAATACTACCAAGAAAGGCTTACTAGGAAAACACAATTTAGAAACATTTTTTTAAAGACATTATATTCCCCACGACCTCTCAACCTCCAGGATCTTAGTGATGCATAATGAAAAGTTTCATAAAATAAGAATTTATCAGCCGGCATGATGGCTTATGCCTGTAATCCTAGCACTCTGGGAGGCGGAGGTGGGTGGATCACCTGAGGTCAGGAGTTCCAGACTAGCCTGGCCAACATGGTGAAACCCCATCTCAACTAAAAAAATGGAAACATTAGCTGCGCGTGGTGGCAGGCGCCTGTAATCCCAGCTGCTGGGTGGCCCAGGCAGGAGAATTGCTTGGACCCCGGAGGCTGAGGTTGCAGTGAGCCAAGATGGCGCCATTGCACTCCAGCCTAGGGAACAAGAGCAAGACTTGGTCTCCAAAAAAAAAAAAAAAAATTATCTATATTGTATCTCTGGCAATAAAAGTATACAGTTTTCTAAAGTCAAAAGGCATTAACCTAAAAAGCACCTAATCTTGAATAATAAACTTTATGAAAGTATGTGGAACTAGTTCCTTAAAGACTTGGTTATTCTTGACCTTCTTTCTACTTGAGACTTGAAAGTCCACAGTTTCTTTCTGCTGGGATAACTAATGTCTTTGGTTGCAAGGCAAACAGAAACTGACAAGTGCTTGTCTGTGCAGTGGCAATCTAATACAGCTACAATAATTTGGAGTGAGTTTGGACCAAATTATGTGCCCCAATATTTTTAGGAACTATAAAAAATTATTACAAGAATTTCTTTAAATCACACAGATCAACAAATTGTTACTTTAAAAGGCTATCTAGTGTAGTACTTCTCACCTTTAATGTATATGAAGTCACCCGGAAAATGTTGTCAAAATGCAGGTTATGATTCAGCAGGTCTGGGTTTGGCTCTGAGATTCTAAATTTCTAACAAACATCCAGGTAAAGCCAGTGCTTCTAGTCCCCAGACCTAATGGGTTTACTTTATTACCATTAATGTTTCTCAAGTTTTAATCATGTGGGAAACTTTTAAAAATCTTCAATGCCCAGACTACTAGGCCCTAGAAAAATTAAATCAGAATATTTGGGGTGGGATCTAAGCACAAGTAGTTTTTAAACCTCTCCAGGTGATTACAATGTATAGCCAAGATTGAGAAACAGTGCTTTAAGTCAGTGAGTGATTCTCCAAGTGTGATCCCCAAACCAGCAGCAGTAGCACCTGGGAATTTGCTGAAAATGCACACTCTAATGTCCATCCCAGATTTACCAAATCAGAAACTCTAGAGGTGAGATCCAGCAATCCATGTTTTCACAAGGCATGATTTTGATGCATGCTTAAGTTTCAGATCCACTGCTATGATCAAAGATTCTCTGCAACTGCATGTGAGAATCACCTGGGGAGTGTTCAAAAAACACTGATTTCCTCCCCCACAATCAATTAAATTAAAATATCTGAGGGTGAAATCTAACATGTTAATGTTTAAAAGTTCCCCCCGGTTATTCCAATTGTGCAGACAAGGTTGAGAAGGATGTCTACAGACTGAATTTTTATGTATGCAAATCAGTGTTTCCATGGAGCAGCAGTTTCTTCTATGCTAGTTTTTTTTTTAAAAAAGTTCTTAATCTGCAAAAATGGAGACCTAGAAAGGTAGAGTACTATCCCAATTGTCATAGATTCAAATTAGTGTATTCAGTATTTTCCGATGAGCCATTTTTCCTTCTTGGTAACATGACAGCAGCTTCTGCTTTCTCCAGCAGGACTTTGATGTGAAATGATTCAATTTTAAGTGGCTATGAGATGTACCCTGGCACCAGCCTGCAGTGATTAAAGATTCCTGTGTCAGATTGGTTAACCATCTTCAGGGATGTTGCTGTAAATCAAGTCTCTCCTGTTAAGGGCTTTAGCACGTTGCTACCCAAAGTGCAATTCACAGATCATCACCTGGGTGCTCATCAGTATCACCTAGGAGCTGTTGATGAATGCTGACTCTCAGGCCCCACCCCAGACCTACTGAATCAGTGTCTGCACATTAGGATCCCCATGTGATATGTATATACATTTAAAGTTTGAGAAGCACAGCTGTAGTGTATCCCCGTAATATACAAAAAAAAAAATAACAGCCACTTAATCCTACCTGTTACATCTCTTGGCTCTTCGTGGATGTTCATCCATTCTGAGAAGCTTGTGGAACTCTTATGGGTAAAGTTCCAATTGTAGAGGAATCTACAAGCATCCTTCCCTTTGTTTCAATCCTTTAGGTTTAGCACCCCTGTCCAGTAGAACTTTCTACAATGATAGAAATGGTCTTTATCTGAGCTCTTCAATAAGTAGCCATCAGCCACATGTGGCTGTTGAACAAATGAATTGGCTAATATGACTGAGAAACTAAATTTTAATTTTATTTCATTTTAATCGATTTAAATTTAAATTGCCTTGTGTGGTTATTGGCTCCACTATTGAACAGCACAGCTCAAGAGTAATCATCTTTCCTCTTGCTCAACCCTTATTTGAGTTCCCAGGTTACACCCCAGCCCCTCCTTCTCAGCTTTTGTATGTATTAATCCCCAGTGAATGCACCAGGAAGAAAAACATCTGCCTTGCCACCTCATTTACATAATAAGTAACATTATGCTTATTATTTTGAATGAGAGGAGTTTAACTTGAATTAAATGCCACCAAAAGTTGTCAAAACCTTTTTCATAGTATTCATAATTGCCTAGCTTTAATTTTACAGCCTTTTCAAACATCAGCAGACATAGACTGCATTTGGAAACTGCTTTAAGAAAATGAGACAAAAGACTGCAAATGGATTCAGAGTACAGGATACATAAAGACATCGCCCCCACCCCAAGCATCTTGTTGGCGTATAATGGAAAGTTGATTACATTGAGTGCATCTATGTTGAAAGTAAATATCAAAACTTGCAGATTACTCTCAAAATGGAAGGTGAAATACAAAATAAAAGAGAGATCATAGAGTTAACAGTACCAGAAGATAGCAAATGAAATTCAAAATAGAAATGTACTCAACACTTAGTTTGGATATTAAATATCTATGGAACCAATGGAATGAGATGGGATGGCATGGGGTGAGATGAGAGGAGAGGGGATAAAACAAAAACACTCATGATTTGAAAACAGAAACCAGCCCCCTCAAGCTTTCTCTTCTCTGGGATAAAAGTAACAACCACCACCACATTTATAATTGCACTGCCTATCATTGCTTAAGTGTGTTCTGTACATTATCCCCTATAATCCTTTCAATAACCATGTAAGGTGGGTATGATCAGGAAAAAAAATTCTTCCGGAGATTTGGATTATTGTTTTAACTAACACACCTCAGGAAGGCAGAATAAAAATAAGCAAATCCCTACTAGAGAGGGAAGGGGATAGTGTTAAAATAAAGTCAGCCCTTTTCTTTGATTGAAAAAGGACATGTATCACTTCTAAGCTGAATTAGCCACAGCCTGTCTTATAAAAGGAGGCTAACACTAGGAAAATATTTCATCAGGGTCTGTGCTTTGCCCAGCTGCTGATTTGGTACTGTGTGATTCAAAATTATTCCCACAAAGAAATGTGTAGCTAAGGGCAACAGCCTCACTTCTGCAGGATGGTCACTTCATAGCAACTGAAACCAATAAATAGACTGTTGTTGTCATTAGGAAAGAAACTCCAAGGGACTTCAGATAATATGATTTCAGGAGGCTGGCCTGGAGCTCAGACGCCATTCAAAACATCTTGAATTTCATGAGGGCTTCTTAAGACCCACCTCACTCAGACGTCATTTTCTCAAAAACGGAGGGCAAGTTTCTTCATGATCCACATCAATCCAGTTCAGAAGGGAGGGAGCAGTGTGGGGATGAAAGAAGACAAAAATATTTACTCCTTCAGTGACGAACTAAAAGGGCCAAACTCGGTTCTGTGTTTCTACACCTTTGCTGACATCTTAATAAAATGAAGCCACAAACCCTAATAGTTGTCTTGAGCAATGTTTGGAAGATGCACCACCCTTTACTTGCTCAAACACACGTTTCTTAACAGAGAACTAAAAGTTTACATGTAGTCTGGGGACATAAGAATTCCCAGGATTCTGAACTTTAATTTTGGGGTCACCCAAAGACGTTTCCAGGCCTTTTCAGTTTGAAGAGCAGTCACACTCTGCCCAAGCAATATCAGAGCAATTCTGCCTTAGTGAGCTGGCCCATTCGGCTCCTTGAATCTTGTGCAGAATGTCAGCGTTGCTGAGCTAGTTCTGACAACTGGTGCTTCTGAATGTTTAGGTGTGGTGCTCAGAAATGCAGTCCCTCTCCTATGATCTCCCGCATTTGATTATTTCTGTGCCCTTTGATTTGGGCCTCTCAGCTTGGATTCCTGGTTGCCATACTGGGGATTTTCTTTCTTCCTTTTTTTTTTTTGTGACAAAGTTTTGCTCTTTTTGCCCAGGCTGGAGTGCAATGGCGCGATGTCAGCTTACCACAACCTCCGCCTCTCGGGTTCAAGTGATTCTCCTGCCTCAGCCTCCCAAGTAGCTGGGATTACAGGCGTGAGCCACCACGCCCAGCTAATTTTGTGTTTTTAGTAGAGACGGGGTTACTGGGGATCTTTCTTCCACATTTACATTTACTGGGATCTTTGCTGGACAGTGGAACCATAGAGATGAAGCATGTGGTAGTCTTTGCTTTGTAAACAACAGCAGTATGGATACTTAAGGTATGCCACAAAATACTATGAGAGTACTAGAAAGAAAAAGGTCAGTACACACCCACTTACTCCAGGGGTCTCAGCAACCAGAGTGTTCTCCCTGTGTATCCTTTAGGAGTCTTAAAAAGGGAACCCAATAAATAACCAACTCAAGTTCTTAAGCAGAGAAATAAGGCCAAAGAATATCCAGGGCCAAAATATCACCTCTATTACTGATAACATCTAGGTTGGAGGATATAGCTTGTATCTGTAAGCAAATGGTCTCCCTAGTTATAAACACTAAGATCAGGCAGACAAATTCAACCAGTCACAAACAGTGTGGGCATGTGCCCTGCAGGCAGCTAGCTCCCAGAAAGAAAAAGGAGGAGGACAGCAAACTCAGTCCATTTTTTCCCAGATTCACTAGGCAGACAAGAAACCTCTCCTGGG